GCTGCCACTTGAGACTGGGCCTGTGGGTGGGCCGAGTGGTTCCTAGCGTGTGAGTCAAACTCTTAATAGAGATCGCATCTAGCCCTCCAAAACCCTCAAAATTTTCTTCGGGGCGCGCTCCGCGCGCGGCGCTCCGCGCCTCACTCCTTGAGCGTCATAGGCGCTGGCCCGCACATGTTCTGCAGCTTGGTTTGTTATTGACATATAACAACGAAGGCGCCATATGGAAGGCGCTCTCAAAAAAGAAACAAAAAACGTGCAGGCAACACAAGAATCACGCAAACGCACGTCCAGTAGAGAGCTCGATGTACCCATCCATCTCGCCCCCATGAGCCATGTACAGTGGACCAAAGCCCCAAACACAATATCACAAACGTATATACGTGTGTGCGTGCAGACTAGAAAACATGGTGGTGTCCACAAAGAAGTGCATGCTACTGTCTACATTGCACAAAGCCTATTCCATGGGATGGCAGCATTGCTTGCCCCGTTGGAGCGAAGGCGTGGCCGCGTCAAGCTTCCTGGAGCTCCTGGGCCGCGGGTGGCGGGCTGTGCGGGGTCGCCGGCTCCTTGAGGTCAACGAGCGCTTGGCAGCCGAGGACGATGTTGTTGGCGAGGCTGCGCGTGGGCACTCCAACGTCGTACGACTCGCTGTCCTTCAGCTTGCGCACCTCGCCAAGGTGGCTGTGCACCTCGAACGGCTGCTCGATCAGGTGGCCGAGCTCCTCGATGCCGAGGAGCAGCCAGCAGGCGACGATCACGCAAGGCAGAGTGAGGCGCGCGCCGACCGCGCCCGCCAGGACAAAGGGGAGCGTGCCCAGCCAGACTGTGAGGAAGCGCGAGGTGTGTCGCGAGTACGAGAGCGGAACTGGCGTGTTTGTGATGCGTGAGCACGCCCCCGCGGCGTCGGCGAGCTTGTCGATGTCGCCGTTGAGCCGCGATAACTGCAGCTCAAAGAGGCGCACGCCGACGCTGTCGCGGCGGTCGGGTCCGCTGGCATCCACCTCTGCCGCAGCGAGGGCCACCGCCTTGTGCATGCGCAGGCAGAGCGCGTACGGATCGAGGTTCCCGTCGGGAGGCTCAGCGCGACACTGGCACGAGAGCGAGCCTGGGTAGAGCTGCAGGGCAGAGACCAGGTCGGCAGCGGCTTGGGGGGCGCGGGGTCGGACGTTGGCACAGATGGCGAGGACGATGTCGATGCACGTATTTTTTACCCCTCCCCAGATGATGCGAGCTTCCCAGAAGCGTGCATACGCCGAATTTGTTCGAAAGACGAGCAGGAGGCTGACGAACCCTCCCAGCAGCGTGTGCATCGTGATCGGAACCGCCGGGCGGAAGCCCACCGTCCTCGCGCCGAGGATGAGGCATGTCACCAGGACGTTGAACACGAGCTGCGACCGGATCCGCCGCAGCACGAGGCTGCGGTGCGTGTTCATGAGTGAGACGAGCCAGTATCGGGAGGAGTAGTGCGCGTCGATTTTCCCTCCAGGGAGGCCCTGCCGGCCGGAGATGCGGAGCTCGTCGAACCGGAACGACTTTAGCAGCCCGTATTGCGGGTCGGCCTCACCGCTGGTGGCCACCAAGAGGGGCTCAGAGGCACGTGGTGTCAGCGGCGGCCGGGCAACCCCAACGCCAACCGCGTGGCTGCTGCGGAGCTCGTGGGAAGCAGGCAACGGCCCCGGAGCCAGGGCGAGAGAGCTCGACGCGCAGGCGACGAGCATGGCGAGGATGCGCGACATTGGGCGCACGGATGAGCGCAGCGCGTGCCGGTACATATATATATATATATGTAATTCCCAGTTTGGGGGATTGGGTCCACTCTCATTCCCCCCCGCTGCGCAAGCGGAGCGGTAGCGCCTGAGCTCCCGGGCGGCTGCGCCGGCCGCGCGGGCCGTGGGCGCAGCGTGGGGCCGGGAGCGGCCGGCTCCGTGCTCATGTATCCAGCGTCTCTAGACGATTACAAAGGATCGGACGTCACGCACATTTTGACAGGGACGTCGGAAATCGGACACATCCACTGGGACGAGTCAATTCATTCACTAGAATGACTAGAAAGAGGGCACCCATGGGGGGTGATCGCACCCGCCCCCCCCCCTTCTCAGCCCCCCTGCAGCGGCGTCGCGCGTTCGGTGGAGTGCGCGGGGGTCCCGGCACGGCTTTTGTCATGTTTTGTCCCGGCTGCGCTCGGACGTACCGGTGAGCGGTGTGAGTAAAAGAGGACGGAGCTCGGAGCAACTCAACGTAAAAAAAGAAAGAGGAGCAGCACAAAGACACCACGTCCCGCTCTCACTGCCCCCCGCTCTACCCCTCC